TTTGTACCAAATTAATAAGAATAAATTTGGTAATAAAAAATTTATGTAACAGTTGCAATTTTGTACTAATTTAGTAAGAAATTGTGTAACAGATATTAAAAAATTTTTTAGGGCAAAAGTAAAACTTATAGGCATTTTAAAGGCTGTTTGAGACTTTAGAGAGCTCAATTTTTGTGCTAAAAAGATGATTTAGAGCTTGTTATGACTGGAAGACACTGGCCAACAACTTTACTTAAGAGCATAAGATCTACATATTAAGTGTACTTTCTGTTTCTTTTTGTTATTTTGACTATTCTATACTTTAGAATATATAAAACAATAGTCTTCTACTCTTGAGAGGACAAATTAGTTATGGTAGTTAATGTTTAATGACAAATATAATTATTTAAAACTTTATATTTTTGTTGTTTTTCTTATTTTTTATCAAAATTGTGATGTACAGAAAAGAGTCTATTTGTCTAATATATTTACAATTAATTATTAATACCTTCAAATAGTAGATAAATATAAAGATAATTTGTTAACATTAATCAGTGAAATTATAATTATGAATATAAATACTTATTCATAAATACCTATCTCAAAATACTTATTAACAATTAATTAATTATCTAATACTCTTCAAATCATTTCATTCGAATTAATTTAGTTAGTAAGTATAAAGATAATTTATTAATATTAATCAGTAAAATTAAAATTATAAATATAAATATTTATTTATAAATACTTATTTACAATTAATTATCTAATACCTTCAAATAGTAGATGAGTATAAAGATGATTTATTAACATTAATCAGTAAAATTAAAATTATAAATATAAATACTTATTCATAAATACTTAACTCTAAATACTTATTTATAATTAATTAATTACTTAATACTCTTTAAATCATTTTATTTAAGTTAATTTGGTTTGTGAGTATAAAAGTAATTTATTAATATTAATTAGTTTCATTATAATTATAAATATATATCTATTACTAAATACTTATTTACAATTAATTATCTAATATTATTTAAATCATTTCAGTTAATGAGTATAAAGATGACTTATTGATATTAATTATTTTATTGAAATTATAATCATAAATACTTATTCATATCTACTTGTCTCTAAATACTTATTTATAATTAATCATCTAATATTCTTGAAATAGTATACAAGTATTAAGATAGTTAATTAGTATAATTAAAATCATAAATATAAACACTTATTCTTGAATACTTATTACTGAATACTTAGTTATCTAATACTCTTCAAATAGGAGATAAGTATAAAGATAGCTTAATTAGTATTATTAAAATGACTAAATATAATTAATACTAGTAGATATTGATATTCTACCTATATTAGCTAATAAAACTTCAAATTAAAATCATATAATACCTATTACTGCATATCAATATATTACAATATTATGCAGAGTATGCAACTTATATTATACATGTTATATACTATGCAAAAGCAATCTGATACTAACAGGATTTACAATCTTTATACTCTAACTGCATAATATATTAAATATCAAAATTTCAAGTTATTTTTATTTAAGAGTTGGAGATAGTCTATTATTTTTTGCTTTGCAAAAGATAGCTTATGCTTCTGCTATAGCTGTCACCTCTGCTTCAGCATTTTTATTTTACTAATACTGCATTAAAAAAACAAGATTATAAGTTGTTTTACTCTAACTCTAATCTTAAACAAGATCTTAAACTTAATTTGAAGACTAAATTAAAAAAATTTTATAACAAATAAAATCAAAATAATACAAAAAATCACACATACTTCAAATTTGTCTAGCAAACTGTCTTCTGCATGCTTATAAAAAAATTTACTAGAAAATTTTTATATAAGTAACGTCTCAAATCTAAACTTAATGCAAGATACTAACTAATGCAATATTTTGTTTTAAATCTATCATAATAGGCTAGCATGCTAAATTCTGCAGAAAAAAATACTCAATACTTAGCTATGAATTCTCGCAAAGAATTTGTTGACCTACTAAAATTTATTCACAATTATTTCATATTTATACAAAATTGATATCAAATATTAAATTCGTAATGACTACATATACTGTATAATATACTAAATGACTTACTTTAAACTCTATCCTAAAAAAAATATAGTGATTACTCTAACTCTAATTTGTTAAAACATTTTTACACTAACTAAAAAAGAAACTTATTAGTATTTTGCCTAAACTCTATCTAAAAAAAATTTTTTTAAGCTAATGCTAAAGTGATTTATCTAATCACCTACTCTGATTCTTATTTAAACTAAAGTAATTCATCTAATTTCTATTCTAATCCTAATCCAAAAAAAAAATATTAATTCTTAAAACAGAAAATCTAGTACAACTATAAGATTTCCACTAGTAATTCATAATTAAATTAGCTCTAAGTTAAACAATAAAATTTTGATTAATTACTATAAATTAAACCTTAAATTTTAGTTAAATTACTTACATTTCAAAGTTAGCTTAATATTTTCTATGCTATATACTACCACTATATAGACATAAAATAAATTCTCATCTTTAATAGAGAATAATTACATAAATATATACAAATAGTTATTAACTACAGTAAATGATAATAAAGATTTTGCCTTTTGCACTTAACTCTCTATATTGCTATTTTTTAAAGGACAATTCTGAGAATTATGATACCAAGACTTGTACATTGCACATTGGTATTTGTTTTTCTTTGTTAATGATGTTTTATCTTGATTACTTGAGCTAATATTCTTAATATCATGATTCTCAATAGCTGATAAGTATCTTTTATTTGCAGGCTAGCCTTTATCTTTATATTGAAATGGATTAGAAATCTTAACATAATCTAACTATTGTTCAGATAGTTTACATATGTTTTGGCATAATTTAGAAGTTTTTCATCAATATATCATTATAAAAGATCATTCAATGCCTTGTTTGAATTATTTGTGATTGCTATATCTAAAGCTTTCTTACAAAGCCTAAGACCATAGCTGTAAAAAGCTTTTTTTGAATCTAATTTCATAGTAACTTTACTGTTAATATCCTGCTTACGAATTCTTTCTAATAATTAAAATGTTCTAGTTTGAAGTAGTTTATCTTCATTCTGTATTATTTGAATAGATAATTCTTGATTTTCATTAAACATTACAAGACCTTTTTCAGAGTACCAGTGAGAAGGTATTAACTTAATATTAAAGAATACTTTCTTTGACTGAGTTATTATAGTAAAAAAATGATGACAAACGAATTCTGCATATATTAAATAGAGACATGTATAGTAGTATGTACTATCATCAAGCAATATAACAAATTAGAAATTATTTGTTGTGTTTTGGATATATTTAACTTCCCAAATTTCATCCACAACACTTCTAGTACAATCTTCTAAAGCCATATCTAATAATATCTGTGGCTCTTCATAATTATCTTCTAAAAATCTTATACTATAGTTCAATTTCTAATCAAATAATAAGTATAATTTTTAGTTATAATACAACAAATTATATATAAACTACCTAAAAAAAAAAAGGAAAAGACTTGCTTGATTAATATCAAATTCATTAGCATGTAATAAAGATCGATATAAAAGACTTTCTAGCATTTGCTTTCATTATAATGCTATTTAATTTGGTGTGAGATACTTTTTACACAATTCATCAATGCCTTTAAACATTGTATTAGAAACATGGAGAAGACCTGTTGTCAGATTCATATTATGAAATTCTTGTAATCTCATATATTTTGTCTCATCTTTTAGTCGCAGTTCTATTCCAGATTGGAACAAATATAGAGAATTTTCAGAGTTTGCTTCTAATTTAATAACCTAATTTATACTTTCAACACATTGTGTTGAATAAGTATTTGCTGAAAAGTTTTACTTTGTAAATGCATGTGCCCAACATTTCTTAGTAGGATACAAAACTCTATTACAATACCCTTGGATTTTAGAATATTTGTTCATTAACTCTATCTAATTACAATCAAAGTTAGTTATTACAAGTGAGTTTTGTAAAGTATAAAAATCAGAAATAAACTTATCCTACTTGCTGTCAAGCTTTTTTTTAATTTTTTAACCAAGTTTTGTCGAATATAGAATGCGTAATATCAAATGATAGTTTTTGGATATTCATTAGATAAAGCTACTTGCATCATCAGATCCACATTAGTAAAAATCATCTTTGGTTAAAGGTTACTAGTAGCTAATTTGGTTTGTTTTAAAATCTATTTATATATTAATATAGTCTTATCACAAATTATAGCTATCACTGCAATGTGACTTTATTAGTTAGAGTCTATGACTATAAAGATGCTAAGAGGCATCATATATTTATTTGTCTTGTATGTATTGTCATTAATAACAACATCATAAAATTGAGTCTATAAACTTTTTTGTTTAAGTGATATCCAAAAAATCTTAGAGAGCCTATTATCTATATCCTCAAAATCTATCTTAAAATACTATTCTGGATTTTCCTGTTATAACTTTAATAGATATTCATACTAAGTAAAAGCATTATCTTTAGTTTGAATGTCAGCTTTAAATTTGCTTATCATATTATAAAGATCTCAATTATAAATTTCTTGATCAGAAAACTTATGTTGTAATATTCATTTCAAAATGCTTGCCTCAAAATGATATTTCTGAACATAAAACCAAATTTCTTCTTTTATATTTGCAGATATTCTTTGTAATGAGAGCAAAAATTGTTGAAGTAAATTATTTTCATTCAATTTGGATTATGCTTCTCAACAAATTTGTTAACAAAGACAAGATTTAAGCATTTTTGATACAAAGTATTTAGTAAAAAGCCACAATCTATACAAGCTGATTTCTGCTCCTGATTTCTTATAAGATCTAAAGTTTTCTTAAACAAGTATTTACTTCTATGTCTATATTTATATGTTTTTATGAGCAAATATCATTTTCTCTTTCAACTTATATTATCTTCATCTCAAAATCTATTCTGAGCGAATAGCATTTTAAGTATTGTTTAAGCACTTTAAAAGAAATGAAAATCTGTTTGGTATATATTTCTTTAAGAGGGCTATCTTCAGGCTTATTTTCAGAAACATAGCCTTCAAATATATTATTTTTAGTATTAAAATTACTACCTTCAGATATATTTTCTTCAGTATTAAAATTACTATCTTCAGAAGAGTTACCATCAAAATTTCTGTTTATTAGCAGAGGATTGTGTTTATTAGCAGAATTATTATCTTCAGAAGTATTAACTTCATTAATATTTCTAATTATGTACAAGATATTAGTAACACACTTGCTAGAAAGTAAAATAAAATCAATATTGCCTTCAGAATGAGCTAAAATTTCTAAATCTATATGAAATTTATTAAAGCTTTGATAAGAATTTCGAATATAAAAAAAAATTGCAATTTAGTAAAAGAAAAAAAAAGTAATCTAAAGAAAGTGAAAGAGCAAGTGAAAAGAAAAATCAAAAAAAATCAAAAAGAAGAAAAATGCACAAAACTAAAAGAGAAAGAGCGAATGAAAACAACAAAAAAGAGTGATCGAAAAGAAAAAAAGAGTAAAAGAACAAGTAAAATGAAAAAAATATTGAAAATACAAGTTAAAAAAAAAATAAAAGCGAAAGAGTAGTAAAAAGAAAAAAGAAATGAAAAGGCGAGTGAAAAGGAAAAAAAGAAATGAGTAACAGATAATTAACCTTTTTTAAGAAACTAAAAAAAAAAATACGCATAAAATTTAAAATAAATTTGATTATTAATAAAAAAGCAGCAAAATCTAACAACTATCTATATATACATACTTTTGTTCTCTTGTTTTTCTTGCTTTTATAATTGGCAAACATGAAAAAACTAGGAGACCTAAAAAAAAAAAAAAAAAAGAATGTGATATATTAACAATATAAAAATTTTAGAAAAACATTATTATTGCACTTGTACTTACTTCTATTTTCTAGCTTTATCTATTTTTATTATCAGTTTACATTTGCTCTTATATTCATAGATATAAATCTGAAAAGAAAAAAATCACATGTAAAACCTAAAAAAAAGTATATAAAGCGTTTATAATATAATAACAACATTTTAAAAAAGCTTTTATTTGCATCTGCTTCTTATTTTCTTATTTCTATCTTCACTTTATCAAGCCTACCTTCAAATATTAGTTCACATTTGCTCTTCTATTCATAGATATAAGTAACTAGCAAGAAAAAAATCATGTATAAAACCTAAAAAAGTACATAACTAGTTGATAATATAACACTATAATTCCAAAAGAACACTTTTCTTTGCAACTAATTCATATTTTCTATTATTTCTATCTCTTGTACTGACCTTTTCTTTTTTAGGTATTTGTTTATTTTTTTATACAAACCAAAATAGGAAAAGTTCAATTATTTTACAATCTAACCTCTATTTATTGTTGTGTTTTAATTAAATCACTAATTACTCCTATGTCAAAAATTATACTATTGATACTACATGTAATTACAGAATACTAGGTAGATATCAATAACTCCTAGTATAAATATTATTTTTACTATTAAAATTATGAATATAAATACTAATTCATAAATACTTATTTCTTTTTTTTTTTTTTTTTTTTTTTATTAGTTGATAATGTCAGTATAGAAAATATAAATCAATACAATTAAATATCAGGATAATACTATTTATAACTAAAAATAATTTTTCTAATTTTATCTATATTGCTCTTAAAGCTATCAGATATAACATTAAATCTCCTATTTACTATTAACATCTAATTTAAATAATTGATATTATTACTATTAGAAATAGAGAGGTTAGAAAGAAAACCTTTTAAATTTAGATTAAAGAAGAATTTATGAGAAGCATGAGAAGAATGAGTAGTTTTGTAAAAACCATTTTGTAATAAGATTATTAATATTAGTTTTGTGTTGAGTTTGAGTAGATGTTTTTATAGGAGTATAGAGAAAAGTTGAGAATTTATATGATTTGGTTTTTTTTGTTTGTTGTGTGATATTACGGAAAATTTCCCATTTATATTGGTGTTAATTTCTTAGTTTCCAAATATCATTATAAACCAGTTTAGTAAATTGTTAGAGAGATTAGTAGGAAAGATTGAAGTCTGTTTGTTTAGTTTGTGTTAAATATTGTTGTGGGATAGTTCCTTAGAGAATATAGAGAAGTAGTTTTGAAGTTGATAATTGGGAAAGGTTGTTGAAAGTAGTAAATATTGAGATGAGAGTTTGGGTAGAGTAATTTGTTATATTTAAAGATATAGTAGATAAAGTAATTTGCTGGTGAAGAATAGAGAGTAAGTTAATTTTGTGTAATGAGCATTTAAAGAGGTGAAGTATATTTTCTTCTTAGTTGCAATAAGTGCAGTTTGGTGTAAAAAAAAGATGAGGTAGTCTAATATGTAGATTGTCTATTGTTGGAAGATTATTTAGTGGGATTTTAAAGTGAAAGAAGTAAAGTGAAGTATTAAATAATAAAGAATTAAAAATAAAAAAGTTTAGTTTTAAGTTAATTGGTGGTAGTTACGATATATTTTAAGTTGAGTTATATTGTTAAGAGTTTGAATAAAGGTTATTGATTTATTGAATTGACATAGTTTAAATAGGATAAGATAATTGTACTAGGTAAAGAAAGATAGTGGAGTAAAGTATTGAAGGTTTATTTTTAGTAGTGGTTTGTGAGTTTCTTGTTTAGCAAGTTTATCTGTGATATTATGAGAAGTGTTTTTAGAATAAGATTTGATTTTGTAAAAGGTATAAGAGATATTTTTAAATTTAATTATAGAGTTAATGATATGAATAATATTTAGTTAAGTTGTTTTATTTGAGTATTATTGTTGTAAGGGAGATTTTTAAGTGTTTAGAGAGCTAATAAGTTGTCAATATGAATATGGATATATGTAAATATTAGAAGTATAAGGAGAATTGAAATGATTGTATCAATTTCAGCTCTTGTAGAATTTGGAGTATTTGTTAAAGCAGCATTGAACCTTATATGCCTGTTGTTGTGGAGAGTCTAGCCAATATCTGATTTAATAGAGGGTGTTTGTAAATGATATATAGAGGCATCAGTATAAAAGTGTAGGTCATTTAGAGGTAGGTTAATAAGTTGATTGTAAAGTGCAATAAGTTGTTCTTGATAAGAGGATGAGTTGATAGTATTTTTAATGAGAGATATTTCTGTATTTGGAATTTGTATAGTAGGAAGAGGTAGAAGTTGATTATGTGTATGTAGTTCATTAGAGATGAGAATTAAATCTTCAATTTTAAGATTATCTATTGAGAGCTTAAAGTTAGTTTTCTCTTTTTAGCTTTTGCATTTAATATTTAGAATAAGATTTGGAGCAATATTTATGAAAGATTGAGAGGGTGAGATTATAATAGTTCTGTTTGTTTGTGAGATAATATTATATTT